GCCCAAATCCCTAAGCTGTTGCCACACTGTCCTTTCTGACTCAGATTTTTCCTTCCTCCTACATACCCTTCTGGAATAATCTTTCTCAAACATTAGTTATTGTGTAGATGATCACTTCACACTCCTCAACCAAGCACACTGGGTACACTGGCTGCTAAACTGTGTGTTCCACATGAAGGCACCTGGGTTCATTCACAGAAGGGACTACAGAGCTCTCCTAGGGGCTGGTGCATAGTGGGGAGAGCAGCAGATGTTCCTTGAGTGACAGATGCATTTGGTGGAACTCCCTTCTTGCCCTTCCATTTCTCTCTCCTGACGTGGTCCCATTCCCATCAAGCCTATTGGCTTCCTGATGCTCACTCAGTGGACTTCTTGTTTCAAGAAGCCACTAGTTTTCATTTCCCAAAATCTCACAGAGGGGTGGAGGCAAGAGAAGCTGACATCCAAGTTAACAGCAGGAGGTTTGTGTCAAATACCAACTGCAAAGTCCTTGTTGAATGCAGAGTGGAATGAGTGCAGCTGCCTCCTGGGAGCCTTTGCCCCAGTAAGAAAACCCCTGCGGAGGGTAGAAAGCAGAAAGGACAGTGAGTGTAACCAGTGGTTTTGGAGTTTGCAGAGGGATCCACTGGCCATCCAGTCTGCCTAGCTCTGGATCCCTGGTCTGATGCCCTTAGATTGTTCTTTTTCTTGGCACCACATCACTCAGACACACACCACCAGTGATCCTGGCCCCATCACCACCTCATAATCCAGCTCAAAATCCAGCTCCTGCAGGAAGGCGCTGATAATCTCTACCTCACTTTGATCATTTGCCATCAACTTCCCTTTGAGCCTTATGGCTACCTTCAACTTTTTTTTCTAAATTGGTAGTATTTTCAACTCCTTCATGTCAGAGCAGTGTCTTTATTTTTTATTTGCAGACATCTGTTTATTTTGAAAAGGAGACATAAGACAGGGCACTGGGGCACTGGAACCTGTAGACCTGGGTGTTCTACTATTTAGCTGTTTGCTCTTGGGGAAGTCTTTAAACCTCTCCGAGTCAGTTTCTCCATCGGCAGAAGGCGCTAGTGATACTTTGCATGGTGAAGGGCAGAGACTCCAGTGAATACAAAGTGCCAAGAACGAGCCTGTTGCACAGTGAGCAGACAATAGCTTGTCTTTCTTCCCGGCGCCGACGGCGACTTCCCTGAATTGGGGGAGTGGGGGGGGGGAAGCACCTCCCACATAGGGGCACTTTAAGTGTGAAAAGGGACACTCTTACTAATTCACCGGTTCCACATACGTAAGCCGGGGACGCATGGCCACTCTACCAAAACTCACAATAACAGAGAGGGAAGGACTCGGATTGTGCGCCCGGACAAACCAGTATCTAAGCGTGTCGCACAGTACAGTTCAAACTCAACGAGCGTTTACTGAATGAACCAACGAAAGGACCAGTCCTCCCCTCAGTTTCCTAGAGCATCTGCGCGAAAAGGAGAGAAGATTAAAAAGCCCGCCCCCGCCGCCTCCCCACCCCCACCCGGGTCCCAAAGCCTCCGGCAACCTCCTTTCTCTAAGGTCTTGTCTCCGGCCCGCTTCCCCGCCCCCGGTTGCCTAGGAAACAGTGACGTGTACGTGAGGGGCGTGACCTCTCGCCATCCTCTCTGGGAGTCCCGGGCCCCTACTCATCCCAGCCTGGCGGGTGGATGAAGTTGGGGGCCTCGACCCTTCCAGCTCCTCGCTGGGCTTGGCGCTGGCTAAGTCCACCTGGGCCCCTCGTGGCTTGCTCGAGTGCGGGCACCTCACCTCGCACCGGTGAACTGGCGAGGGTCAGGAGGATGCCTCGTTCCCAGGAAGTCCTCTTCACCCCTTCTCCCCAGACGGGCCAGAGGATCCCGAGGACCCGGCCCCGCGCGCAGCCCGGGCCCGCCCCTCTCCGGACAGCTCTCGGGCTAGCCCCGCGTCCCGGCGGGTGGGCCGGGAGAGTGGGACCCCAGGGCGCCTGGGCGCCCTGGTGCGCGGGATAGAAAGAGTTAAACAAGGTGCCGGCGCTGGGCGCGGCGGGAATGGGGGAGGGGAGCGAAGGGAAAGTGAGAGCGGGGGCGGGGGGTGGGGGAGCGGGAGCGAAAGAACATCCTGTGCCCGCCGCCGGATGCGCGCGGGGGGAGGAGGTAGTCCGGGGAGGGCGGGCGAGATGGGGGGAGGCCCGGGGTGGGGAAAGGCGCGGCCTCCGCCCGCCCCCACCCCCGTCACCCGGCTCTCCTCTGGGGGCGCGCTCCCTGAGTTTTCGCGGCGCGGTTCTTCCCGTCCCCATGTCTTCGCGGGAGGAGCGAGCTACCGAGACGCCCCAGAATCTGGCTCCTGGGCCGGGGTGGACGCCACTTGGGAGGAGATGGTCTTGGGGAGTGTGGGATCTCCGCCAGGGTCCTGGCGGCCCCCAGTCTTTCATCTCTCAGTTTTCTGGCTTTCTGCGGAGGAAGCTCGCACGTGTTGAGCGTCTCCTTGCACCGAGAGTCACAACACACATTTTCTCATTCAGTCCCGACAGCAGCACTTCCCGGTTGTAGGTAGGTATTAATGGACGGGGATTCGGAGGAGGAAACAGACAGGGATTATGGAATTTGCCCCAGCGGGTCGGACACCAGCGGCTTTTTCCTTTAAGGACAGAGCAGACTAACGAGACTTTAGCTTCTCCTAAGCGCACAGGAGCTGGGCATGGGTCACCCTCGGTTATAGCCTGGAGGGCACGGGAGGCCCCCAAGAGTGGTTGAGAATTAGCTCTAACTAGACTCAAGTGCTCCTTACCAGAGAGTGAATGAGATGAGTATATCTCAGCTGGTAAAGGTGTGTGTGTGTGTGTGGTGGTCTTAGAGTTTCATTAGCTAAAGGATGGTTTTTAGAAACAAAGTACCTCTGGAAAATGGAGGACTGGGTAGAACTCCTGGCCGTGGGATTTGTGGGGCGGGATTTGTGGGGCCTTCAAAGAGGGCTCCCAAATTGCCCAGGGCAGTCAGATGATTTACCGGAATTGTGACGGATTAGCCTGAAAGTGGGTGGGAGGTGTAGAGGGTGAGTGGAAAGGCCGGGGGATGAATAATGTGCCTTTCAGTCCTCCTTGAGACCCTCAATCTGTGTGCTCAACCCCTCCCTCACGGAGTGAGGCCTCCTTTTGGGGAGAAGCTAACATAACTTGGAGGCCTCATCTAGGATGGGGAGGTGAGATCTGATCCTTCCCTACGTCTCCCTTTTCTTTCTCTCCCTGCAATATCTCCATACCCCCTAGCCTCACATTCTGGTACAGGGCAGGGAGGTGAGAAGCTCCAAACCAGGCTCAGGTCCCAGCCAGCACTGAGTATAGTCAGTCTTCACCTGACTTTGTGCTCCTGAGCTGCTCCAGGGTTTGAAGGAGGAGGGGAAACTGGGAAACAGAGCTCTTACCCCCTTCACCCCAGGTAGATGGCATCACTCCTAAGTGGTCATTCTCTTCCTTCACTCACTTCCACCCCTCTTCAAGGGCCATTGCTCAGTCTGCTAAGTCCCAAGGTGTGTAACTCCATGGAACCCCTGCAATGTGGATGAGTAAAGACCCTCAGAGAACTCCCCACTTCAATGGGACCACCCATCAGGTCCAACAGATGTCTGACCGGACTGTTTAGGCTTCAAGGCCCCCCTGGTGACTCTTAGGCTAGTCTTCAGAACAAGGTCCCTTCTCTGGCCTTTCCAGCCACCGGAGTGCATCTGCAACCCTCTCATCCTGAGCAAACATGGTTCCTTAAAGCCCTCCAACGGAGAGTTCTTTCTTGGCTATAACCTAACTCCTTCCTGCTACACTTAAATGTCATTTCTTGTTTCCCTCCTCAAATGATTCAGCGGGATTAAGAGGCAGTCTTCCCCAATCTGACTTTTTCACTAGTCTACAGCACAACGAAAAGGAAAACATTAAGACAGGGGAATGTGTATTGTTGTCCTTTCGCGGGAATGACTGTTTTGGTTCAGATGTTTTTGAGAATTAAAGCCCACTTGCTTTTATGAAACGATGGCAATAATAGATGGTAGATAATAGAAGGTTCTTAGGGAGCATAACTTCAACTCTGTGGGAATTTGGCTTTGTTTACCTCTTTCCCATCAACTTCAGAAACTTCGACCACCAGCTAGAGAGAAAGCTGAGATTCCAGACACACAGATGGCCCCAAGTTTCTGACCAGCCCTCACCAAGACAAAAAGGACACCAGCTGCCGTAGCATCTGCCTCTCTGCCATGGGGACCAGCTTTTCTCCTGGAGGCTAATGCTCCCATCGTGTTAGGTGTGCTTAGTTTAAGGAAGGAGTGAGGCTCCAGCCCTACTGCCAGGTTCAGAATCAGTTCAGTCAGAGACTCGGTTTTGTGATTTTTGTACCTCATCTTCCCCACCTGTAAAATGGGAGTAAAGCCACCTTGGGGTGCTTGTGAGTAATAAGTACTTGGAACAGTGCCCCGTACTTGGAGCCCACCAGTGCTGACTATAATAGAATTAGGGTGACAGCAGGTTTCATCTGGACCAGTGGTACTATCAGATCTGAGACCCTCATAGTTTAAAGACACAGACACCCCTTCCCCTCCCCGGAAATTTAACCCTGCATCCCCTCTGGTTACAAATGCAGAAATGGGGACCCAGGCAAGGGGAGATCCCTTACTCCTCCAGCAACTCACTAATGGGCCTGGGCCTCTGTGTCTGGACTTTCATTGTTCTGCCCTGGATGGATGACAGAACATGACTTGAACATCCACTAAATGCAGGACTCTGCTGGATGTTGGAGATGCAAATACAGTTGCTGTCAGAGCTTTCAGTCAGTCAGTCAGATAATGTCTGTCATAGGGGAACATGCATAAGATAATGGATTTACCTCATGACTGCAACACTTTACAAGGAACTCCTTTCCATTTCATTCTCCCGTGGAAGGGGACGCCCAGTAGAAACACCATAGACCAGCAATGGATCTATGGTCAAGAGATCAAGAATGGGAGGGAAGTGAGGCCACAGAGTGCCACTGTTCACACCCCAGCCACCCTCCCAGGAACTTCTAAAAGGCCCAGTCCGGAAATGTGGCCTCTGCTGCCCTCTAATGGAGGAAGGCAGCGCTGGAGCCCCCACTAACCTGGCCTCCCTGAAACAAAAGGGCATTCCTGCCTGCCCTTAGACTTGATTCCCCTAGAATCTTGAGCTTTGCTTCCTGCAGTCTCTGAGGCAGAACCTTCTGTTCTTTGAGGAGCCCTGACTGTCCCAGTTCCCAACTACCACCCTCCATCTCCCATTTCTCCAGTTTCCTTTGTTGCCTGCGTTCCGATTCTGGTGCCCTGGTGCCTGGCCCTAACAGGGTTCTGGTTCCGGAAGGCCCCTGCCAGGTGCCTCAGGCCTCGCTCCCACCCAGGCACAAGGTGGCACTGAAGACATGGGCGTGAACTTCCCCCAGTGTGTGAAGCAGCTGGACATCCGCAAAGCTATAGTGAGCCTGGCCACAGGTGCTGGGGCCATCTACCTACTCTACAAAGCCATCAGGGCAGGTGTAAGATGCCAGCCTCCCCTCTGCACCAACTCGCCCATCTGCATCGCCCGTGAGTGTCCGGGCCCTAGGGAGAGGGCTGTGTCCCAGGAGGTACCCGCTTCCGAGGCTTCCAGTGTGGGAGGGCCCAAAGGTGATCCTCTTCCTTTTTTCTCTTCTCCATCTTCCTCAAACCCACCCTGCAAACCAACTCTGCCATTCCCCAGAGAAGTCTTTGCTGGAGATGAGGACTCGGGATCCCTGAGTGGGTACCACTCAGGTGGATCCTCAGAACTCATCTAACAGGTCTTCAAATTCTGCATTCCCTCTAGCTCCCAGGCTGGCACTGTTTGGAAATGGCATTAGTAGTTTCCCCCAAGGAAGAATGGGGGGACATACATGCCCATAGCCTTTACTAGTCCATGTGGCACAATTATGCAAAGTAGAATATGGTAACACTTGTGCAACATTTTTGTTGCTATCTGTTAGAACCTCATTGCCATGAACCAATTATGAGGAAACATGACCTATTACTGCGATATGCCAGAAATATGTCCTAGTAAATGTTTACAGTATGAACAGTACATGTTGGTTGTGATGAACAGTACATGTTGGTTGTGCAGCGTACACTGTTCTACTGTACACAGTAGTCCTGCTTACAACAGGACTTCTCAGAAAAGGCAAGCCAGTCTTGCCCCTAGGTCTCTTTCCCCAGTTTCCCAACCCTATGTCTTGATCACTTCCGAGCCCACATCCTGAGCTTGCCGGGGTGGTTGTCTAGGCTTGGCAATCGAGCGAGAGCGGCATGGGCGGGACTCAGGTGAGCTCCGGAGGCTCCTCAACTCTTTGGAGTGCAAACAGGACGAGTACGCCAAGAGCATGATCCTGCACAGTATCACCCGCTGTGTGTACTTGCTGGAGGCTGAGGTGAGGGAAGGGAAGCAGGAGGTCATCCCCACCCCACAGCCAGCTTGGCCTCTAGAGGCTACAGCTGCCCTCCGCCCTCTTGACTGGCCAAACTATATATCCTGGGAAGCATCTCTCTGGCTAATGGTGGGAAGGGGCTATGCTGAGGGGACCCGGTGATGTGGGGGCCAGTGGACCCTGGACACCCGCTTCTCCTGCCTCTTTCGTCTCTCTTGGCACACTCTAGGCCTCTGCTTGTTCTACTGATGACATCAGGTTGGTGGGCGAAATGCTGGATGACGAGGACAACAGTGTCAAAATCCAAGCTCTGAACACACTTAAAGCTTTCTCTGGCATCAGAAAATTCAGGCTCAAAATCCAGGTGAGCCAAGGGACACACAGGTTGTTCATAGCCCTTGGGTTCTTTAATGGGCTTAATTGCTCAGGTTCCTGAAGTTTGTAACCTAGAAGTGGTTTTCCTTGGATGAAAGTGGGCAAATGGTGGCCATATTCCCAGCAAGGTAATAAAAGTCTCTGAATTTCAGGCTGAAACTAAACTATGGTACTAGGAATAACTCTGAGGACGCCTAGACAGCCCCTAAGATTCTTTGACACCACTGAACTGACACCATCTGGGTATCCTGCCGTTCAATGTGGATACACACTGACTGGAATTAGCACGGACCCTAGGTGAAGGCCCCATTTCACACGCCAGACAGTCTCAGTACTTCTGACCAACTGGCTACAAATTTGGAGGCTCCCACAATGCTCCTTAGGTTTGAGATTCACCTAGAACAACTTCTAGAACTCAGAAAAACACTGTGTTGACCAGTGTATTCTGAAAGGTATATCCTAGGAGCAGCCAAATGAGATAAGAGGTGTTTAAGCAAGGTGTGGGAGGAGGTATACAGAAGCTCCATGCCCTCTCTGGCTTTGTCTCCTCCTTGCAACTAGAGGTGTTTGACAACCCTCAAGTTCTCCAGACTGTTGTTTAGGAGTTTCTATGGGGGTTTTATTATGTAGACATAATTGATTATTCTTTGACCAACAGTGATTGATTGGAGTTCAATCTCCAGCTCCTATCTTTCCCCCAAATTCAAGGACAGCACTGAAAGATCCAATCCTCTAACCACAATGTGGCGTTTTCTGGTCACAGGTGCCATCCTGAAACTATCAGAGGGCTTCATGGGTCACCTTATTACCATAAAGTCAGGGTGATAATGGGTTTGTTATGAGTAACAAAAGACCCTCCTGTCAGGAAATTCCAAGGATTTCATGAGCTCTGTACCTGGAACCAAGGACAACATCAAGTATTTATTATCACATCATCCTCCCCATTCTGCGTTGTTACAGTTGGTGAGTGGGCTATTGATGGTTATGAGAAAACAGAAGCCAGCTAATGTCAGCTAATGTTCCCCCAACTTGGTCCTACCCCCAGGCTTACCTGTTTGCACACATATCTTGGCCATGCTTTTCTGCTGGTACCATGAAAAAATGGCTTTCTTCCTGCTTGTGGCCAATGCCATCCTAAGTCCTGGATCCCATCCCCTTCCTGAGGGCCTCTCTCTTTGACTTACCTATTTTTAGTACACTCCATTCCCTTGCACTTAAAAAGCAAAACAAACAAGCAACCTTCTTGGACCTCCAGTTCTCCCTCTTGCAAATGGTCAATTTATTCCAAATTATAAATCCTAAAAATTACAAACATTGGAAATGTGTACATTAGAAAGAGTATCTAAACAAAACACCCACAACCAGAACCCAGGTTAAGAAATAAAACAGTCCCATAAAGAGATGGGACTACATCAAGTTAAATAGCTTCCGTACAGCAAAAGAGACATTACAAAAAACAAACAGACAGCCCACTAATTGGGAAAACATTTTCTCATACAAAAGTAGTGATAAAGGACTGATCACAAAAATATACGGAGAACTGATGAAACTCAACAAAAATAAACAACCCCATCAAAAAATGGGCA